TACTGATCTACATTATATTTAAAATAGAAGGAAGGGTTAATGAGCAGAAATAAAGATCTTTGAATAATATAATTAGAATTGTTAGTTTATTTCATTTTATAGGGTGCATCTAGTCTAGTCCCAGCAATTGACGTAATAAGTGGCCAAGTTTGAAAATTATATATGAACACATGTGTAATGTTGTTAGATCCACAAATCACATATATTTTATATTACAGAAGTTTTTTACAGTTTTTTACTCAAAAAATTATTCATTATTTTCATTATTAAAAATATTGTGGGTTATTTTCTATTATTTTTTTTGTCTAAAACAAGTCTATTTAAATGTGCATTTTGCTTTGTAAATTTAGGCATGATTAATTGGTAAATTTCAAAAAAGAGTTAGTTTTTTTGAACAAAAAAAAACGCGTTAAATAATTGAATTGATATTCCATCACGTGATGTGTATAACATGGAATTAGTTAATTCCAGCAATTTTGGTAAGATTTATGGTGGACAAATTGAGGTCAAACATAGAATAATGATAATTTTTGAAAGTTCATAGCTCCATCTAGAATGAGATTTTAAAAAAAAAACTCTTCATTTTTTGTTAATTCAAGATTCAAACTAACTGTTTATGAAGTGCTTTTTGATTTATTTTATCTGCTGACATACTAGATAGAATTAGAAATTTTCATGTAAAAGTTGCCAGGATTAGACTAGATGCATCATATATATAAGAATGGTTGAAGTTTTTATGCAAAAAATTTCCTTATTTGTATTTCTTTGGTCAATATTGACAAGTTTTTTCATAATAAACTGAACACGGATCTTCCATACAAACTTAACTTAATGTTAATAAATAAATAAAACATTAAAAATTAATAAATAATCATGCCTTAAATTTTTCCTATCATCGTTCTAAAGGTCTTCTCGTGCATTCTATGTCAGGACTATAATTTGCAAACGGGATGGGGCGGTTCCGCTCTGTTGGATGATCTTTCCTTTTAAGAAAGATCTTTGAATCTATCACGTGAAATTTTTTCTTTATTAAATAAATAAAATAATAATAAAATAATAAAAAAACGAATAATTGATTCATCAGGGTTGATGTAAAAATTCTCTCGGTAGAAGTTGCCTATTTCTTGATCATCAAAGATTTCTTGTATTTGTTCACCAATTTTTTTTTTTAAAAAGGTATAAATTTATTATATTAATATTAATTATAAATATTAAAACAAAGACGAGAAAACTTCTGAGTTGGTTTGGATACCAGCCTTTTTATACTTTATTTTCGCGACACATTGCTAAATTCAATTATTTTATTTTCGCGACACATTGTTGAATTCAATCATTTTATTTTCGCGTCACATTGTTGAATTCAATTAAAATTTTTTCGTAACACACTATTACTATTACTATATATTTATTTTGTAAGAAATTACTAAAATTATTGTATTTATGTGATACAATTTCCTTTAAAAGTAGTGGACTCGCTATTAAATGACAAACGATTTTGGAAAAAAAAAATACATCATTTTGATTTTGTATAATGTAGAGCGACCTATTGGAGCGGCTCTATAAGAGCCGAACGGAACCGCCCTATCCCTAATTATAGTCACGAACCTGTATGGACATATATATTATTGAAATTAAGTTTTTTGGCTGAAAAGCTGAAGTTAAGATACATACTATTTTAAAGTGGAGGAAACGGGATACGTGGTAAGAAAAACATTGCCTGTGAAAACAAGGATAAAGACGAAAGGAAGCATTAATACCATAGCCACCGAACGAAAGGAAGAGTAAATACTATCACCACCGAAAGACACTATATGTTATCACCATATACCATATAATTAATGGCAGAAGAAGCCTAGACGTAAAATTCTGAAGATAAAAAGCAAACGAAGTAAAACTGTACATTGAGAATAGTAGTAAAGGATAAGGGACAAGAGATCAAGAAAGTTTAGGACTAAACTATACTGTTAGAATATAGAAGCGTTCAAGAAAGGCTACGAAGAAAATTATACTTTTAAAATCAACGAAGTGTTCAAGGAAGACTATAACTAAAAACTATACTTTTAGAATCAAAGAAGCGCTCAAGGAAGGCTATGACGAAAATATACCCTTAGAATCAATGAAGCGTTAAAGAAAGGTTATGACGACAAATAGATCGAAGAAATTGTTTTAAAAATTTTAATAACTTTCAAAAAGGTTAAAATTCAAAAATTCAAAAAGGTTAAAATTTGAAAATTCAAAATTCGACCCTTTTATACGGAAGAATTGATCAGACACCCTGTCACGGAAAAAGTATCCTAGGAACATGAATAAACATGAAAATTCAATTACCGAAATGTTCCAAAATCATTATGATTAGCAAAACAAAATATAAACAAAGCACAAACGAACCAGAGGACTAGATACACCTCTTAAATTCAAATAGAATGAGTATTTGGAAAATAGTTCAAAAAAAAAAAGGAGCCTGGACCTACGAAAATTTAAAAATAATACATTCGGAAAGTTTTAATTAAAGAATGGAAATAAAGAAAAGAAATGGATACCGAAAGGATAATAGGATCTTTGATGGAAAATAATGCAAGGAGGAAGAAACGTCAAAACAAGTGATCGTTATAGGACCAAAGTTTTGCAAAACAAAGTCTAGAAAAAATTAAAAAAAGAGACCGTTATAAAGAAAAGAAAGATAAATTACAATTAATTAGGAAATGTAAAATTCTGATAAAGAATAACTGTAATTAAATAGCAAGAAAGAATTTTAAGCATTGGTAAAACACCATGTTTGAATTAAAAAAAGAGCCAAGACGTTAGAAGAAGAAACAAATGGAAGCGTAAAAAACGAAGAAATTAATTTTTGTTTCATGGAACATTTGAAATTAATTTCTAAATTTCCACTTGCGGGAACAAACAATTTGTTATTAATTTATTAACATACAATGAATCAAAATCGAGAGATGAAATTAACAAATTTACAAAGAACAAATTAATTGTAATAGCTCTAGAAGGAAAACCGTTAAGAGAATCAGCAATAAAATACTTGAAGAAACTAAGTACTATGAGTGCGGCTAGTACAAGTGCAAATTCTAGAGCCAAAATGAAAGTACATAATTATACCATAACAAGAATCAAACAGACATGAAGGAAATAAGCAAGCAATCTGATTGATTTCGTATATAATCTCTATCATTAATTATCTTGGTGATTAATTCATATATTATCTTTATCATAATATTATCTTATTTCGTTAATTTTCGATTTTTTTATTGAGATAAATATCGATAAATGATGTATCTCGATATTTATCCCTAAAAAAATTTCCTGGTGTATATTATTATTATGTATGTAGTATTTTCGAAAAGCTGCATTCTAATAACTAATACTATATGGTTATACTGAATATATATACACATTAAGACTATTTGAAAAATTTAATGTAACAAAACTAATTAGCTATTTTTTTATTTACAAGGAACAAACATGCATTTCTACATTTTCCGAATTGTACATAAAAAGATTAATTATAATGAATTGAATCTAAATCATAATAAAATTTAAATAGCAACAACAACTTTAAAGTAAGGCCAAGGGAAAACTTTCACGTTCATGTGGAGTTGCTCTTTGTTCCTACTATGATAATTTTAACTTATTTTCGTTGCCTCATAAGATTAGATTAGAAACTTTATATTAAAAAATTTTTTTTCAAAATACGCATACAAAATTTAACGTGCATATTATTAACATATATGAAGAATGAAATCATTAATTAATTCGTGGGAATAAATAATTTGATCAATTTTAATCAGATTTATATGAAAATCAGCTCTCCCCTGAAATTATTAAAAGTATAAATAGGCTGGAAATAAAATTTTTGATTAAAAAAAATTTTTTATATAAATTAATTACAATTACTTTTTAACTAAATATAAAAAATGTCTGCTATACTTGGAACTTTTAAAATACCAGAAATTCATAACGAACCATTGGTAAGTTTATTTATTTAATAAAAAAAAATTTTTTTTTATTATCAACCTAAATCAATTAAACAAACAATTGATCTAATTTTAATTGATATTTATAATAGAGGAATTATCAACCTGGTAGTGTTGATCGAGCTAAGCTTATTGAAGCTTTAGATGAATTAAAGTCTCAGGTTCCAATAGAAATTCCTGTTTTTATAAACGGTAAAAAGGTAATAATAATAATAATAATAATAATAATAATAATAATAATAATAATAATAATAATAATAATAATCTGATTCATATAATCTTTATCATCATATTCCTTCTTTTCCCTGATCACCATCATCATCATCATTCTTACTGAAATAAATAAATATATGTATATATGTAGCATTTTACTGGCCATATTCAAGAACAGAGAATTCCAACAGATCATGCTACAGTATTAGCAAAAACTCATGAAGCAAATCCAGAACTTATAAATCAAGCAATTGAGGGTGCACTGATAGCCAAAAAAAACACTTGGGAAACTTTATCATTTACTGATCGAGCTGCTATATTCTTAAAAGCTGCTGATTTAGTTGCTAATAAATACAGATATAAACTAATGGCTGCTACTATGCTTGGTCAGGGTAAAAATGCATGGTAATAATATAATTAGCATGTCGTTTTGCTGTTTTTTTTTTATTTAGAAAAAATTTTAAGTTGATAAATTATATATATTTATTTTATGTATTTTATTTGTTTTTTAATGAAAGGCAAGCAGAAATAGATGCAGCAGCAGAGTTAATTGATTTTTGGAGATTTAATTGTCAATATGCACAAGAAATATATCAACAACAACCACCTAAAAATTCACCAGGAGTATGGAACAGATTAGAGTATAGACCACTGGAGGGATTTGTTTATGCTGTTACACCATTTAATTTCACTGCAATTGGTGCTAATCTTGCAGGTGCACCAGCTCTAATGGGTAATGTTGTACTCTGGAAACCTTCCCCAAATGCCGTTTTATCAAATTGGATAGTATTGGAAATACTTAGAGAAGCAGGACTTCCTGATGGTGTCATACAATGGATTCCTGGCCAACCAGTGGAAATTACTCAACAAGTACTGAAATCACCAGAGTTTGCTTCATTACATTTCACTGGATCAACTTTGGTTTTTAAACACTTGTGGAAGGAAATTGGTAATAATATTGACATTTATAAGTCATATCCAAGGATCGTTGGTGAGACTGGTGGTAAAAATTATCATTTGGTGCATAAGTCAGCAAATGTTCCAAATGCTGTCCATCAGACAATTCGTGCAGCTTTTGAATATCAAGGTCAAAAATGTTCAGCTTGCTCTCGTGCTTATATACCTGACACTTTATGGGAACAGTTTAGCAAATTGTTGTTAAGTGAAATTGATAAAATCAAAGTCGGTCCTGTTGAAGGTAATTAACTAATTATTGATTTGTTTGTTTGTTAAGTAAATAATGAAAAGAATGGTAATAAAAATTTTCTTTTTTTTTTTTGAAAATAAAAAATAACAGATTTTACAAATTTTATGAGTGCTGTCATGTAAGTTTATTACTTGATAGTTTACAAAATGCATGATTATAATAAACAATAATCACTATCACAAATAACCACAATCATGATTTTAACAATTTTTTTTTCTTAATCAATCAGACACAAAAATTCATTTGAAAAAATTAAGGGTTACATCGAAGGGTCAAAACTAAATCCAGAAAATGAGATTATAAAAGGTGGAACATATAATGACTCAAAAGGTTATTATATTCATCCAACAGTAATTCTGACTAAAAATCCAAAAAGTCCAACCATGGTCGAAGAAATTTTTGGGTAATTTATTTTTTTAAGTTGATTTGTTATTACATGATGTGTGTATACGTAAATATTAACTATATGCTTAAAATTTTATTTTTTAAAGACCTGTACTTACTATTTATGTGTATAAATCAGATGAATATGAACAAATACTTGATTTAGCAAATGAAACGACTGGCTATGCTTTAACAGGGGCAATGTATGTAAATAAATCAACAATGACGTTTAAAAAAAAAAACACTCAATATATTTATTTATTTTTTACTTTTCCCCCAACAAATAATTTTATTAGATTTGCACAAGATCGTTCGGCGATAGCAAAAGCAGAAAATAAATTACGGTATGCATCAGGTAATTTCTATATTAATGATAAGGCTACCGGTGCCATAGTGGGCCAACAACCTTTTGGTGGTGCTCGTGGATCTGGAACAAATGATAAAGCTGGAAGTCTCACTTTGGTAATTATTATTAAAAAAATTTTTTTTTTAAATTGATGTGCTTGGAATGATTTGTTAATTTATTGATTGGTTGGTTTTTGGATATATATAGTTGTATCGATTTGTCTCAATGCGTACCATTAAAGAAAACTTCATTAATATTGATAACTTTTTCTACCCGTCAAACCTTGGTTAAAATTGATTTTTATAAATGGATGAATTTTTGGTTATTTAATGTATTTTTCACTATAAAGTTATTAATAATCATGGTGATTTTATAAAATAATTGATGAAAAATTTATTTGTATTATCATCTAATCATCTATTTATAACAATATAAATTTACAAGAAAATAAAGATTATAAGTTACTTCCCATTAGCAGGAATTGTTTTCAGACACCATAATTTGCATATGTTTGTGGTCAACAGACTGTGAGCTAAGTCTATTTTCGTAACAAAGTAATTTGTTGTCCTGCATCAGAGAAAAGTCCTTCTGAAGAAGGAATTGCCAAATATTTTTTGGCTAAAATAGCAAGTATTGGG